CAAATACTATTATCATGTGAGAGAAATATCATTATTATAGATAGATGTTGAACTCCTTCTGGTAATGACGTTATGCTTACCATCTTGGACTTTTGCATAACCGTGTCAACAAATAGCTAAATAACATATAACATGTCACAACGGTAACACTATTTATTTTATTAGTTTAATAATGCCTTTGAAGGGGTTAATAATTTGTATGACATGGGAGCAATCAAGACAGATAAAGAACCACCTTTGGGTTCAGATCAAATTGAGAATAATGCAAATAAGTTGAAAAATAAACTTAGAAAGGGATTCACACCTCTTTATCAACATTTATATTCCGGTGTAAATGAAATTTCAGTTCAAGAATTAACTTGGAAGGATCCTCTAGCTAACCAAATTATTAGAGATAATTCGAATCTTGTTCAGGGATTGCCAGGAAATTTAAAAAAGGCATTTATGATATATATTTATCGGACTTAATTGGCGCATAGTGCCTTAGCAGAATCAGTAAAACTAATATTTGCCTATATATGTTGGAAACACTATGTTCCATATATTAGAAACCTGTAAGATTGATGAAACCTGCTCCTATATCAAGAGTTGAAGATATGTGTAATAGGTTTGTATCGAATTTTTTATCTGAGAATTTATCAAGTTTACCATATGAGTTATCACATACAAATGAGTGGAAAGAAAGTGAGGATAAACTTGAAGAAATCACGTTAAAAATTTTGGAAACCTTGGGATCTGTTTGGCGCAATCCAGCTTTTTGTTCTGAATTCGTTGCTACAATGAATGAAGGTACATATGTAAATAATATAATTGTGCCATTAATCAATGCCTGCTTATCTAATAATCATTTTGGAGAGTCAGCATTTATTACCACGTAAGTTATAGTAAGAATAATATATCATCTTCCAGAGAAACATATTGTTAATTTATATTTTTAGGTTTGAACGGCAGAGTATAGCAAGTGCTGATAGAAGAGGAGATGGGAGAGTAGGAAGACGGCCTGATATCATGTTTATAAGTAAAGAAGACGATAAATATTACGAATTAATGTATGCAGAATGTTCCAGGATTATCTGTACGAAACAAAAAGAAGAAGATGACGATATAAAATTATGGCGTGAATGTAACGATGGATTATACTGGGCGCAAAAAAGTCGTAGGTTGGAAAAAGAACAATTTGGTATCATTGGGATCCAAGTAGCTGGATGCAGGTTGAGTTTGAATGTTCTTATAAGAGACGAGCTTGAAATCCATCGATATTATAAAATACATGAAACGGAGATCCCTATTCGATATTCCAACGATCCTTCCATTTTAGCCGATTTTATATATACTTTATTATTATTCCGTAATACATTAATAGTTAATATGTCTCTGTTACGCAGTGCACATGATCGCAGATCAAATAGAAATTTAGATAGTTCGACAGTAACATCCCCTCCTCCAAATTCCTAATTAGATAGATTTTATCATGTATTTTACCCCGTATATTTATTAATAAAGACTTTTGATTAGAAGAACGTACAACGTATCATGTGTTATTTTTTGTGTAATGTATATGTGTAATTTTCCGGAATAATTTTTCTTGGCGACAGGGTGTCGTCGAAATTTCTTGGCAAAAGTGATCGGCGTGACAAATTGTCACGCGGAAAATTAAAGTTCTGGATCGGTGTCCAAAGAATTTCCTAATGATAGATTTTTTTCGTGATTTAATCCAAGCTTTTGAACATATTTGACATGATAAATTGATAATTTTACCCCACAAAAAACATAGCACAACCGTAAAGTGACCTAGAATTGTTTTATTCATGTATCAAAACTATTGCTCAATTAAATCCCTTTCAAGATCTGCCCTCCCTGCAATATATAGTTAACATATTTACAAAGTGAAATATGAAAAAAAATTTGACATGCATGGCGTATTACAACATCTAATCTCTTTTTGTTCCTTTTTCTGGAGTGTTATCCGGAATTGATATCCAATCCTGTACACAACAGGAACCATTTTCGTTGATTGTGTCTTCTTTACCCAGTTCTCCCTTCACAAATTGTCGTTCCTTGAGCAAAGCCTATAATAGTAAATAAAATCTACAATAAGTAATAGTAAATGAGATGCATTTGTATGTCTAGCAAAAGAAATACCTCAAAATAGACGCCAATATTTGCAATTTTAACTAGTAACCACCGGTCCGCATAAGTTGTTGGGATTTTACAGTTAAATATCTCGTATACTCTATAAGTTTTTTTACGGATAAGGTCAGTGAGGTAAATTGATATTAAATATTCTAAAAGTAAAGTTAGGTTAGTCTTACAATAAAACAATCCATTCATGTCAAACATGAAAGAAAAATACCCACTATAACCATGTATTCCGACAGATTTGAATTTTTTTGCTGTTGTTATGGAAGAATTTGGATATTGATTGAAATAATAGTTCAGATCATCCACTCCATTACGTGCCAATTTGGTAAGGTCCCCCAAATAGTGAGCTAAATCAAATTCCGTCGGTCCATAGGTCTGTTCATATATAATTGTGGCGTTTTCATCTTGATACAGGACAGCATCATTCTTGTTTCCTCTATTTGAATTAGCCGGTTTTTGATCAACATTTATATTATAAATTCTATCTTTGTGGGCCTCATTTACAATCTCTCCACTAAATTAGAATAAAATTAATTTGTAAAAGAACATGAAAAAGTACAAATAATTACAAGACTTACAAGGCGATTCCTGATGTTAATTCTCCAAAAAACATCGAAAATAAGTCAAGAATGCGATAGACCGTTTGAGCAGACCAAGTTTTTTCGTCACCTTTTATTTGCAAGCCACCGTAATAATAGTAAAAAATAAAATGTCGACAAACTTCCCTTGTCCATAAAAATAATGGTCGTGCGTCCTTATCAAGTGATTTTTCTACTTTAGATAACGCACTTTCAATATCCCCACCAAGCAAATCATGAAGATATTCTATGATATCTTTGGGAATATCAAACTTAACAGTTGTATCGCGAACGAACGATTCAAACAAGTCTTTTAAGTCCACTTTCGACAACTCTTTGAATGGTCCACATAATATATATATATATTACGATGCCTCATATCCTTGAAAAGTTCATTAACCTTGCTTTTTTTCTTTACAGCTCCCGCAACCTGCATAAAAATTCCCATTTGTTGGTAAATAGACTTAAAAGAAAAATAAAAACATGATGAAAAATACAACCACCTCATCTTCTGAAGTTTTTGTTTGTTGGAAGCACGTATTCACATCATCACTTTGGTTAGATGATGTAGTTGTTGTTAGTTGCAGGTAATCCATGCAAGTCATTTTGGAAAAAACCCTTTTTTCATGCCAAATATTAACATAATTATAATTACCCCAGGCAGGAAATATGGATGGATTTGATCCTCTGGTGTTACTTGGTGATCTGCCCTCGTCCGTTTTATTTGATCTGGACATTCGAAATCGGCCTAAAGTATTGGAACCCAAAATAGTCAGTTCATCATTAGGAACGATTGTAGAATAAGACTTTTCTGGATCATTTAAAATACTTGAAAGGTTCATTACAGATGCATTTGTCTAAACGATATAGATGCATTAATCCACTTGATTATTATACTAAAAAAAAATAAATATGTGATCTTTATAAAGAATAGGCTAACCTCAAAAGATTGACTTTGAGTCTGCTCGCTATATTGGGCCTTGATTCTATTATCTCGAATAAGCTTAACTTGTTTCTCCAGTTGTTGATCCCGTATGTGTATATAATCCAACTATTAACGAGAATAATGTCAATCTGCATATTTTTATTATTGAATAATGTCGCTGTAACGATGAAATTTACTCACGTCAGAAGATTCTATTTTCCACAGCTTTCTCTTCCTTAGTATATCCGTATTGTCGCGATTCCAAAAAGCATTTACATCCGACGAATTTTTCTCATCCTTAAAATGAAGAATTATTGGTTAGTGCTTCAATTTTACTTAGATAAATAAACTAAGACCGAGTACTATTGAGAAATAGCGTTTGACTCGTGGTCAGAAACACCCTACAACACATGGTCAGTAGTGCCACGCTATTTTAAAACTGTTGATAAATCACTACCGACTCTTGGTCATCACTGTGCAACTTCGTGGTCCACTAGTGTGTAGCAACAATAACTCTTGGTCTACCAAAAATCATCAGATCTCTGGCTTATCAACAGTCTTTTTTCAGAAAAAAAATACGACCTGCCAATTTCTCAATATCAGCCTTGCCACTTTTCCTTTTTCTCCATCTTGACAATCTTTCTGATTATATCGATAAAAACGCTATGTTCGTACGTTTTATCTGTAACATCCGCAAAGTTGGATCTCCATTGGAGATATCCAAAAAGCGACCAGAATTTCGGATCAGTTTGGTTAAAGTAGTCCATTGCGTATACTGTATGGCAGTGTTGTCACTTGGACGTGAATCCAGCAATTTGATTGGTCGAGACGCTTGTCCCAACCAATCAAATTGCTGGATTCACGTCCAAGTGACAACACTGCTGTATGGTATAAGCGAAGAAGAAAAATTTAAGTGACGTTATGTCAGATTTTAATATATGATATATCTGCTGTAACACAGTAACACTATTCACATGATACCGCATAACTTTTGTACTAAATCAGAATAGCACATTTCATTTCATCGAAAGTATAGTTTCTCTCAGCCATGGTTCTATAGAAGACTTCTTTAAAGCGGGACAAAATTGTTAGGTAATATCTGTCAGATCCTGTAATCAAGAATAATGATTAGTAAATTTTCCGGAATAATTTTCTTGGCAAAAATAGTTACACAGTGTCCATATCGGAAAATTAATATCAATACTTAATTTTTAACATCAAAAATTAAATAAAGCTGGTACTGGTGGCTAATTTCGTATAATTAATCGTGTTTACTTTCCGCACGTTTATTTCGGGATTTATTACGCTGTATTGATATCATTGTGTATTAACTGCATATATCGAAAATTTTTTCTTGGCAAAATTTCAGCGAACTTGGTTCGCCCAAAATCACGTGTTTATTTTTATTTGAATGCTTGTATATAGTGTATAAAAAGTGTTTTCGAGAATGGAATCCGAGATTGACTTACTTAGACAGGAGAATGCCAGACTTATGGCTAAGATTACTGGGCTTGAGTTCGAGAGGATCGAGCTTTTAAAGCAAGTTGCGGAAGAGAGAACAAAGCACGAAGCTGAAAATGCCGAACTCAGGAGTAGGATCGAGGAGTTAGAGAAGGATAGGTCAGATGTTGTTGCTGAAAATGGCAGGCGTGATGATGCAATTGCTGAGCTTAAGGCTGAAGTAGTAAAACTAAGGAACGACAATGAGAAGATCAAGCAACAAACCCAAGATATTTCTCTTGGGGAAGTTGTTAATATACCTAGCTCTGTTGTGGACCAGCTTGATAATGCTTCTGAGGCTTCATCCAAAATCCGGCTTTCTTGTGGGAGTAAGCAGAAGACATTGGAGGATAAAGAGACAAATGCTTTCTTGAACGAGGTGGATAAGAAAAGAGTTAGTGATGAGATTAGGCAGAGGAGTAGGGAGAAAAAACTTCAGTGTGAACTACCTAGCCAGGAGGCGCACTCGATTTCCCAGAACACTGCATCTACTACTTCCACTACTTTCCATGAGCGAAAAAACGAACGGGACTTGATTCGAGAAATGATTTCATCCAAGGAAGAAAAGCATGTGACTGAAATTTTAGCGAACTTGGTTCACCCAAATAATGATCGAGAGAGGAATGAAGATATTATTAGTCTATATAAAAACGTGTGTAATGCGAAAGTAGGTGCAATCGAAGCCAATAGAGAAGAAACACTGCGTTGGTATTTCTATGCTAGAGAATTCAAAAGCATGTATAAAGATTTTATGGTCAGCAATAAAGTTAGGGAAAAGAAGGCGAAAGGTCAGGTATATGATTTTATTATCAAACAACTACCCGACACCAAGCGCAAAACTTTATGTAAGCAGACACAGAAAGCTTTAAGGATTGACAATTTATTCGAAAAAATAGGAATGGACAAGATTCAATATATCAAAACATATAGTGCGGATATTATTTCAAAATTTACTAATTCTCAGATTCAAACGATAATAGATTACTTCACCAAAAAATCTGATATAGAATACACCGATGATCAGAACAATTCTTCAGATGATTTATCCGAAACTGAGGTAAGTGAACCTGTAACTCCCTCTATCCTATTAACTCATACCTCTAATTCGGAAGATAAGGAAAGTAAAGTTAAATCTTTAGCAATAAGTATATCTATGGAATCTGATTTAGGAATATTACCAGATACTGAGGTAAGTGCATCATCTTCAGATACGAAGAAAACTTTACTGGAAATGGAGGTAAGTACTATAATCATTCCCTCTATCCTATCACCCCATATCTCTAGCCACTCTGTGACTTCCTCCGGCAATTCAGAAGATAATATAAATGAAGATGTTAAATCTCTATCTGATGATTCATTAGATTCTAACTCGGAATCCTCTGATGGTGAAGATGATGATGAAGACGAGTTTTCAAGTAAGAAAATCAATCCATCCAATCTAAGGATGCTTGCCTAAATTCTTTCAGAAAAATATCGTCATAATTTTGATGGGTTACACACTAATTGTTAATTAGAATTTCGACATAATTTCAGTTA